TCAAATACATCTTTAAACTTTTGATATTGGCTTGAAATGCCACTTAAAGTCCTTGCATCATTACAAATAGGTGTGGCGTAAATGACATAAGGTGATGCTTCTTTTGTAGCATGTAAGAAAGCTTTGACATCTACAAATATAGGTTTTATTGTGCTAAACTTATGACTTTCTATTGGATTAATTTTACTCTTAATTTTATTCTTAGAGAAGTCAACAGTACAAGAAATCCAATCTATATAAGGATTATATTTTTTTAATCACAATAAATCTAAAATAGCTAGATTAGAGAGAGATCTAATTATATTAAAGATTATGCAACTACTATGACCATTTATTGCTACATCTATGAAAATTATTTCATGAATAACATTTCTAAAAGACAACAAATGACCATCTATGACTTCTACTTAAACAAGTTTATTTTTTTAAACTAATGATATTTTATGACTTTTAACAAAATCTACGTCTAAAAAACAAGCTAAGGTTCTTGAATCTATCAAGGTGGAGGCTTTATAATTATTAGATCCTAAATGTACAATTATTATAAAACATAAAGAGGATTTTGAGGAGAGGATATGACCTTTATTAGAAATTATACAAGTTTCCATCTGCACAGTCCCTATTGTAGCTAGAAAAATTTGTTTTCTACGACATAACTTCTTTGATAGCTGTGCTTCTTATTTTGTGGTTTCGTCATTTCTTTGAACAATGTTGAGTAGTAAGTTTTGGTTCTTCATAATATAAGCACAATCCTTCAAAGAGTCTTCTATGCTTTTACTAGTCTTTTATAAGAAATAATGAGGGAGAAGTTCAATTTCTCAATATTAGTTGCAATCAATTCAAAAGCCTTTTTTTTACAATGTGTATAATTTTCTCTTTTCCATATTAGCATGTATGCTTGCAAACTCTTCACTTTCATCTACAATGTCCTAAAGATCCATAGAAGCCAACAAAAGCTCCATTTTTACCTTCTAATTATATAAATTATCACCTCTATACTTCTCAATTGTTCTCAAAGCCTCACCCTCATTTGAAGCCATGTCTTTGGAAGAATTGTATTCTAAAATACCAATAGGAGGAGTTTTAAGGCTCTCAAAATTAATAAGAAGGTATTACTATCTCTAAATCTTAGAATGCCTTTTTCGTAAACAAAATTGTATTTTGTCTTTCAAAATACTTTTTAACTTTACTTCTAAGATTTCTCACAAGTATCAACAATAATATAAACCTCAAAAATCAGATATACCACTCTTAAGCCACTTCTTTGCTCACAAACCACCTCTTAGTTCTATTAGAGGTCTTTCTTTGACACTTTAGGATTCTTTCAGTCTATAAACTACAAAGTTAGTGAATTAAATATCTATTTCAATAAGAGAATACAACCTAATTTTTCTAAATCATCTTTTTTAGGTATAAAATATATTCTACATTTTAATATATATTTAATGAATAAGAAGTACAAATCAAAATTTAATTTTGAAATTTAAGAGATCTCAAAACCTAACATCAATAGAAACAAGATGATCTACTCTTTATACCAACAAATACTTCAAAAAATTCAAAAAATACATATGAATGTGTGTGGGCTTATAATCTATTGAAGAAATAAGAAGTAAGAAGTTTCAACACTTAGCATCAACAAGGTTACTCTCAAAGAAAAGTGTAAAATAAGATAACTTTCACTTCTAGCACTCTTTACATATAAGTGGTAGTACATAGCATCTAACTTACTATCAAGATATCTTTTAGCTTCTACCTACTATGAAGATATTTTTTAATATTTATTATATGTCTTTTCATATTCAAACTAAATCCTAGATTCTTCTTAACCTATCTACTATTTAAAAATCCTAGAAGCCACTCTAGTAACAAGCCTTTAGTCTTTATTGCTTTTTAAATATTAACAACTTACTATGATTAAAATCTATGTCATGGTAAGTAATCAAGGATTTATTAATCTTCAATAATTTCATGCATATAATATCCAATAAATCTCTCCAAAGCATAGCTATGAGTTTTCAATTTATCTTCTTTTAAAATTCTCACATTGGCTTGTATTGCTCTTATTAGTGAACAAGCCTAGAAACTCATTGTTGTCATTATTTTCCAATTATAAAGAACCTAGAAAGTCTTGAACTAAGATTTAAATATAAGAAAAATATTGATAAGACTAAAAATAGTTTCAATCTTTTATATATACTAACTACTTAGAAAATCTAGTAGAAACTTTTTAGAAACCACAAGGCTTGTAATTTAAACACCAAATTGTAGGTTGCTTCAAGTGTAACTTTTTAAATTCATAAGACAAACTTTAGTAGCTACATGGAATTTTCATAAAAGTCTTAATATCTATTACTTATATAAAAACTCCTTCAAAACTTCTTAAAGATGATACTATCTATTTAGCATGTTTCTACCTGCTTCTACTTGCTATTATTTACTTCTATTTACTTAAAAAAAAGATAAGTATCAATTATTTTTATATTCAATTTTCTTCTTCTAATTTTATTGTTAATTTATTTTCATATTTATTACCAAGACTTTGTGATTTTATCTACATCTAAAATAAATCTATCACAACCACTTGCTAAGCCTAAATAATTTGCAATATTTTTAACTAAAATTACTTGATTTAAGCATAAATTATCAAAATTTTATCAAATATCTATAATCTCTTTTAAAAGACCAATTTATTTTTTATATGCCATGTTATGCTTTTCTAGCCATATTTTTTTAAATTAATACTTTACAAAGAAGTATACAATTTTTTAAGGTTTTCTAAAACATAATGCTATTGATCTACATTATATTAAATTACTTATTTGGTCAATTTTTTGTATTTTAAAGGCTATAGATTTAGACCTCATTGAATTAAATATGTGTAATTTTTTATGCAATTTTAATGCAATTTTAATTATTGAAAGAATGGTCCATTTTGTAGTCTCTCTTAACTCTACATTGCATCCAAAGACTGCGGTTTCAAAAGACTAGCGGTTTGTTCAAGCCCCTTTCTTAGTAAAAGACCTTGGGAAAGTCTTTTGGATTCTTTTCAATGGCCTTTGGCTTGTGGAGTTAATCACTCCTTAGCTGAAATATAAATAACACGTCCTATTGAATTAGAGTTCCAATTTAGTTGGATATCAGAACATTGTTCAGACCAAAGATGTATTTAATTGAAAGCACATGTGCTCATTTACCTTCTGTGAGAAACAGTGTGTGGATACTGGATGTTAGAAAAACAGTTGTGAAGCACACCAGTTGCAGTCGAAAATTTGCTATAACCCCGATCAAAGTCGGGATCATACTTTTACTCAAGGCGACAAGTTCTCGGAGTAGGGAAAAATGAGGCGGTCCATGTTTTCATCTGCAAGTGTATTGTACATTGCACTTCGAGCAGCAAATCAATTGGATGAGGATAGGAAGAGACCATGTCAATATTATTTCAGACATTAGAGAGGACCATGGATGCAGCAAAAAGTCTGATTTGTTACAATCTAAACCTAAAAATTTAAACTCAGAACGACGTGCGAACCCCAAATTGTCGGGCGGAGCAACGGGCACTCAGAATACTGGCAGCATCGGGACACACTAGGAACCAATTCATCGCCAGACTGAAGGAGCACATACGAGTTGTCTCCAGTCGTCCCCTGTTCTAGCATCTACCGAGCAGCTCTATCCAGAGCACTAGAAAATAAGGTCAGCTGCTCTTACTTGGCTGAAACATCAAAGTACTTTGCGGTACCGCGGATAGCAGCTAATTTGATTTGTCCCGTTTTCTGCATGCAATATTCAATAGACTCCTCCAAGGCGTGGCTGTGAGTTTTCAGTTTATCCTCTTTTTAAAACTCTCACGTTGGCGTGTATCGCTCCTGTTGGTGAGCAAGCCCAGAGACTTAGCGCCGTCACTACTTTCTTGATTTGATCCTTCGGAATGACATAGCTTCTCTGAAACTCCACTGCCTCCTTGTCGTGGATATATACATACACTACAAGCTTGGTAGACGTTTTATATTTCATCAGGATGGATAGGAATTCAAGGCTCGTAAATGATGAACCTCCTCTAAATTTGAAGAATCCACAAGGGAAGATGACGATCTTCGATGTCTTTGACTGCGTGTCTTGTAACCAGTTCATATGGTTGTCAGTAACTTGCTGAAGTTCGCCGGATGACTCAAGAAGATCCTTGAACCTTTTTGGTGTATTATTACACATGCTATAATATTTATGGTAACGCTGTTAATATCTACACTCCCATCCACATCAATTGACGAAGGTGCTGTTGCATTCCCCTTCATTGAACTTATTTTCCTGAATATCCTAATATGAAATATAATTAAATGTATAATCCAATGAATTGTATTACAGCCAAGAACAAAACTTCTACAAGAATCAACAGAATGGAAAGAATGTAACTAGATCTCACGTAATGTTTAACTGAACAAAATAGTAGCAAAAAAGGTGTGCTGCCCAAGCCAATGCTTTCTACCCCAAGTTGCCTACGCCCGATCGCTCCCTACCTCCATTGCTCATCAGGCAAATTATTTCACGTCGGTTGTGTAATTTGACCTGCACGAAAATGATGTGGAACGACACACTGACCAAAATGAAGAAACTTATCAATGTAAACACCGGTTCGTTGAAAACTTATTATCAATTATAAGTTACTGTAATGTGTTCATGACAGAGCTTTGCCAATTGTGGAGATGCGGAAAGATCATAATTTAAAGTAGAGAATCGAGACAGAGACAAAATGGGTGACAGGTGCGTACGGGTCCTTGGAATGAGCAGAATCAGCATCTGATTCAATCATGATCATGAACATGTGTGCGTGTGTATATACATATATATAAATATGAGTAAATATAGTCAAATAAATAATAACATTACGTTATATTTTAACGGCCAGTTTGCGACCGATCGTTGCAACGTCATGCTGTCGTTGCAGATCCAGTTCCAACGCGCATCTTATTTTTGACTTATGAGGTACCTACTGTGGTGCCAAACAGTGCGAGCCGGCCCCTCTTCCTTGCGGTACACGATATATTCCCGCCAGATCGGCACCAGTTTCCACACCTGTTGGAGCAATTATCGTGACATCTTGGCTACTCCATGGTGGAAGCTCGCAGTTCAGCAATTTTCAGAGGATGAGGTGAGAAGGTTTGAACTTTATACCACCTTTGATGCTCCGGATCCTCACCAGATCGTCAGTTGCACTTGCTCTTGGTGTCCTTGAAGGAGTGTTTTTCTGGTGACCATGAATTGTCCACGTTACCAGTTGCGAAGTTCTGTCAATTCCCTTGGTAATCAGTACACTAGGTGTGGCTCGTCCTGAATTGGTGCACAATTTCAATTTGATGTTAGCTTCTGTGTTAAATCCCAGACGTATGGTATAGACCAACTGCCGAGTTGACTCGTATCACGACCGCAAATATCGCAAGTTTGGATAGCGTGGATCGATAACTCAAGATTTCTCAAACTTGACTAATATTTCAGGTAATAGCGAGCGAATGTATCTACTTCTTTTAGTTATTATAGTTTGTAAATGTTTAAGCTCCTCCAACCTCCAGGCATAGAGTGTAATCTATTCCGCAATAGCGATTGTGAATTTGAGATGTTAAATGCATGCTTTGTCAGCTGCTTAGATGTACTGAACAGTTCTCTTACAAATGTTGTGCAATTTTCATGATGCCATAGTGTGCAACCTGGTTGAACAACCCGGTACAATGCTTTGAGCAGCGTTGTAATCAAAAATTTAACATGTTACTCGGGGATATATTGAGAGATGGTATCGAGGCAAATGTAGACCGGTCTATACTTCAACAGTTGCCAACAAAGTTAATAAAGAGAGTAATCTCAATAATACCATTGTCATCAGGGAAAAATTGTGTGTTAGTGTGATTGTGGACACTGATGTATAGGCTTATTTTCAATCTTCAAGAGTGCATTGGGAGACCACACTACTATGTCATTGATTCATGTGGGTTGGGTAATTCTTGAAGCGTGAAACCACTGAAATACAAAGCCTGCAATGTATTCATCTGACGTATGCGGCATTGAATTGCTTAGTTACTAGTAAAAAACTGACATGTGACCAACTGTATTAGGTTGAAGGCACTTCTGAAGCACCAACACAAACAAATGCGAAAATCCTGAGGCTTTAAGTAGCTGTGAAACAACACCAAATCCGGCTTCTTAAAACGGATCAAGTCGACACAAGAGATCACCATGCCGTGGAAAAAGTTGAGTCGTAATCCAGCCGCTGGAAGTGGTAAAATTGCATGGCCACGAGTTCAGAAACACGTCGAAGTTAAACAAAAGTTCTCAGCTGAAGATGCTCGTCGATTTGCCTTTAAGAATCCAAATATCAACTTTTTTTTAATCTGCCGTCAGAAAGCTGTACAACTCGGGTCCAAGAACTATGATCACAAGGCTGCGGTTTTCTTCACACTTCCAGATGAGATCGTACGGAAATTACTTGATAATCACACTTTCTCCGATCCTGCGATTTTGCATGAAGACTGTGATTTGTACGTGAAGGCAGGAGTGAGTGTTGCTTACTACAATTCCAACGATTCGCGCATGAATCAAACCATCTCCATAGCCAGAGACTACGTCATGAAGGATGGAGGGGCTGCAATTGATGTGGTAATTATCTTCGCCGCCAATCTGATTCATGATCTTGTCGGGCGAAACAGCAAACGGAGCGCAGACAGGCTAAAACTCCTGGACGTTGAAGCAAAGCCTAACCAAACAAAGCCCAGCCATAAGCTTGTCTGCGCTACAGATGCCATCATCAAGGATCTGGCTGACGCACAGAAGCTGCAAAAGAAGGGCATCACAGTGCTGTTGTCCGTATTGAACGATCATGAATCCCATAGTTGGTCCAGCTTCTCGGATCCTGAAGACGCAGGTAACTTTGCAAAACAGTTGAAACACATTGTTGAAAACTACAACTTGGATGGGATTGACATCGATGACGAATGGGCAGAGGAGAATACACCCAAAATCCCCACCTCACTCGCGATGGTCACGGCAATGATGCGCTTTCAAATGCCGGACAAGATCATATCCAAAGCATTGTGGGCAAAGACAAGGGACATAGAATATCTCAACAAAAAACACTCCTATCACGGGAAGGAGAATAAAAAGCATTTCTTGGTAGACAATTTGACCTACGGTTGGGAAATGTCCTACGATATTCCAGATGTGTTCGATATTGAGCGTCTTGAAGCCTATTGTAAGGAGCCCGATGGCATGAAGAAGAAAAGTGTCTGTAAAGGATTCGAAGGGGGGAAGCCATATAAGGACGCCGATCTGCATACGTATTTTGACAAGCTGAAGAAAGAAGGTTACGGAGGGTTCATGGTCTTTAGTTTTGAGAAAGAGTCTGGCCAAGATTTGATGAAAAAGTTGCTCAAGCTGTGGCAAGATGAGGCATAAGTGTGATGTGACCTAGACAACTTTGTGGAGCTAAGGTGAATAAGCAAGTAATGAAGGACTTGTTGAGAAGAAGATCGGCCGAGGGTGACGTAGTGATTAGTGGTGGCAAAGGAGGGGTCAGTACGGCCAAATTGGGGACGACATTTGACGTTTCGGATAGAATGAGTTTGAGGATTTTCAATTGTTGATGCATGCAATATAGATTGTTTGCAGTGTTATAAACTGATGGGTATGTGGATGGATTAGAGTACAGAAATATGTGCATTTATGGTCAGCCATGGTACAAGTACGTTGTACTCCAAAATGTTACAACCCAAACGACGTCTTGCCAATGCTGTGATGAATTAAGACTGAAGGTGATGATGATGGAAATGTTCTCTCAATCTCAACATCAATAGCCAAGAGTAAGCCTTAAAGTTGTTGCGGTGGAGCTGAATTGCAATCACACGTTCTATATCCAGTAGCTGTAGAGTAATCCAAGCGCCAGCTAAATACACAACCAGGTCTCCCTGACCTGTATGATTGGAAACGGTAGTACTTGAGACATCAAATTTGAGTGCTCTCAATTTGAAGATGATGCAGAACTGTGGGGACTCTAAATGGTCTCCAGGTGAAAAGGTATAGAGCAGGTCGTTCATTGACGTTTACTTGGACGGTCCATTTTTAGTGCAATATTGATCCTTATTCCTGAAATCCTAAATTTTGAATCATATATTATTAATCCTAACTCAAAACCTGAATTTTTCAATTTTAGCCATGAACTCAAATATTCTAATTTAATGGGATCACCTTAGGGAGGATGATACTCTATTTTTCATCACATATCAAGTATCTCTGATGAGTCTATTTCTTGGAGATAGAAAATTGTGTCTTATTTCTTATTTAATACAGTAATATGACTTTTTGACAAACAAGTATTCAAATTCAAAGACCTAATGGTTCTTGTAAATTATCATAACTATAAATAATATTACCCACAATCAATTATTCTTCTAACTATCAAAGTTTTATTTCTTTCCTTGAATATCTGAAAAAACTTAGAATACTAATTAATAGAAGTAGGTACTCATTGGTAACAAACAATATTCTACTTAGAACAGATCCTAAACTTTGAATCATTTATCTTTCAACAATCTGATAAATTCAAGCTTGAGATTACTCCAATAATTTTATTGAGCTTCACATTTGAGTTTCATTCAAAAACAAATTATATTAGTTCTAGGCTTGACTTAGATATAATATGCAGTAATTTTTAAATTAATTGTTGATATTTCTAATAAGGCTATGTAAGTTTTAGCTCATCTCATCTTTTTTACATTAATTAAGTGCTTATGTATAGTTCTTTAAAAAAATATCATTTCTAAAAAAGATTTTGGATTCATAAAAGTTGCAAAACTTAGAATAATTTGAAAAATTGTTAATAATATCAAAATAACAAAATAATGATTATAAGTATAAATTACATTAAAAAAATTTATAATAATTACATTGATAATACTTGATTTTATTAAGCATTTGTAATAACATGAATTTAAGATGCAATTAAGAGTCTAGCCTTAATAATTAAATACTAAGTTGTCAGAAAGGAAGGTAAAATAGGCCAAAATAAAGAAGTTAACATTCACAAAAATTAGATATTTATGATGCTAAATATTTGGATAATAAGAAGAAAAAAAAATAGTAGACATTATAAGTATTAAAAAGTAATTATTAATATTAAAAAAATAATATATTATATTACCTAGTCATTTATTATTTTTATAATGTTATTATAATATTTTCAAAGAATTAAATTTTAATTTTTTTTTAAAGATCAATTAATTTTTAGTCTTCTTATTAGTGCTTTTAATATAGACATACTTATTATAATATTTTTTAAGATACACAAATAGAAAATTTTTCTAAATATCTTAGTAATGACGCTAAAATGCTTAAAAGAAACACAAGTTTGTTCTTGTGATGATCGATTCTATTGAGTTGGATGTTGAAATTGGATTGTTGTTCCTTCTCTTCTCTTCTTTTGATTTAAGTGAGATTTTGATTATTTTTGGATGGTTAAAGAAGATATATTTTATTGCAATTATTTACTCTAATTTACTTTCATCTCCAATTATTTATTTATTTATTTATTTATTTTTGTAATACTCTATAACTTTTTAGATTTACCAACCTTTAATTCTTACAATTTTATTACCTAGTTTACTACTTCTTTTAAATTGCACCCTATTACAATTTTGGTCTTGATATTAGAAATTTATATCATATAATATCTATCAATTAATATGTTTATTTTACTTATATTTCATCTACAAAGGCAAGCTTAACTTATCTTCAATTCATGTTATTTAGACCCTTGGTTGTGATAGCAAACAAATTGTTCTCCAATTGCTATCTATATTAACGCTTATTTGGCTTGGTCTTCTTTCAATCTTCTTTCTTACTTTATAGGAGCTTCTCCTTTAGATTTGATAATAACATATCGGGTAGATGCTAAGACACCTTTACAATTTTTAAGAAAAAATATATGTACTTTTTGTTTTTAGAATAGATCACACAAGGCATCCAAATCTCTAGCCTTAATTCTACAATGATAGTATTCTTTTAGGCTCCAATTGCCAAATTGTAATAGAAACCAATTTAGAGTATTAAGGTAGAGACTCTTGTTATAATCTTACAATTTTTTATAATGATGATGCAATTACATAAGAGCACAATGTTGGCTAGATTACCTACTCTTCTTCTAAGGCTTTTATACCTACCATGTTTCTTTGCTCTTATTTTTTCTTTGAAAGCCACTAGTAATTCTACTTCTAATGCAATCCTTAAAACATCTTATATTCATTAGTGGTTACAAGATTCAAACCGAAACCATCAATTCTTTTTGGTAAATGCTTCCTATTACTTAACAAAGCTTCTCACTTTGTGTATCTTTTTTTTTGAAGATCCTTAAAATACACTAAAGACTTAGTGGGATTACTTCCTTGTAGAATAATTCAAGTAGTAGTAGATATTAATTGTATCTACTACTACTTGACTAGCCACTACTTTATCCTTCAATTACTTTAAACAATTTCTATTGGTAAAAGAAGGTGTCTTTTCTCCCTCCTTTGAATTTTTCTCCTTTCAAGCACTATGAATCAATGCCAAATCAGGTTATAACAAGCACAACTTGTAATAAAAAAAATTATAAAAAAAAATTATGTCTTTAAAGATATCAAATTAGAACATTTATTAAGCTATATATATATATATATATATATATATATATATATATGTGTATTTTTTAGGATGTTTTTAAAATTTTTCTTTATTTTTAAAATTTTTAGTACTACTTATATTTATATACATATTTATTATCAATAAGAAATAATAAGTTCTAACAACTTAGAAGCTTAGTTGTTTTTATTGTAAACAAGCCATAAACTTATAATATTATTTTAACAAAGATCTTACAAGTCAAAAAAATCTAATCAATAATTTATAATAGATATTAAATTGTATATATATATATATATATATATATATATATATATATATATATATATATATATAGTATTTTTATTATATTTCTTTTTTAGTTATAAAAAAATATAGTGAAATCTTTGTAATATGTGATATTTTATTTAAAGATGCAACCTTTGACTACAAACAATAAAATTACCATGTCACAATTAAGAATATTGTAAAGAATACTAAATAACATATATTCTATATCCAATATGTTGAATAGATATTTTGATAATAAAAAAGTGTTTTAAAAAAAATCAAATATATTACAAAATTCACAATAGTCTATACATTTCAAGCCATGGGATGAAAGAGAAGGTTATTACAATCTAATGTCTATTTTACAACTTTTTTGGATAAGCTACTATAAATGAAGAGATGTTATGGATATTCATAATTATCTAAATAAGAAGTACTAGATAAAAGATAAATGTACATATATTTGATATTCTCTTATGGTGAAGCTTCTTAGAAGCTTTATAGATGCATATTTGACTTTATACATGTTTATAATTGATTGATAGGTTAGAAACTTGGCCAATAAGTTAGTTATATATTACATGCATAAATAACTTGCAATACAAGCTAACAATGTGGCGCATATACAAAAAACTTAACTTGTAAGTTAAGACATGTGTCTCACAAATTCGACACATGTTGGAGGTCATATAGAATGTCACTACATAGCTCTTAGTTAGATAGTATGTATGGAGGCAAGTGTGAAGGCTTCTTCACTCTTATCAATGTCTTTTTAGTCCTTAGTCTTATTTCAAGATTTTCTAATCTTCTTGTCTTTGGCAATAATCATTCTAATTTAATATTATACCACCTTTGAGTAAATTCTTGGTCTTTGTAAATAATACAAGAGTGTATTAGTCTTCTAATTCTTTGAGATTTATGTCCTTTGTAATTTGTCAAGAGTACTGACTTATTGTTCTTATTTTGTTTTAGAAGTGAATGGATTATTCTACTTGTATTTTGAAGTTTGCGGACTACCCACCTTTAAATTAATTTTTAGTTTTCTAATATTGATTTTTTTTCTTAAACAGAGTGGACTACTCTTCTTTATAGGAATTTTTATTTGATATTAGAGATTATGGATTATCTTCCTCTAATTTGACTTTTGAATTTATTTGAGTCACTTTTAGAAGGAAAAATTGTAGATACTACTCATAGTAGAAGTAAGAATAAATTTACAACTATTGTAGATCTTTATAAGCTTATTAAGACTTTTAGGATTAAAATCTCACATATTTCTAATGTGAATTATAGAAGTACATCTATAAAAGAAGTCAATAATGAAGTTGAGACTCTATGCTAAGAAGTTGTGTAATTGAGTGAAGCAAGTAGATCAAATTTATAATTAAATACAAGAAGCCTTATTTCAACAAGTATGAGAGAGGCAAAAATAAGTATCTCAAAGAAATTTGATTGAATAAGATTAAAGTTTCAAAGATTTCTATAATAGATGGAGTTCTTTTTAAGATCACATCCTTCTCAATATCTTAATGGATTTATTCAAGTTAAATTTATATATAAATTTTTATTTGAGAGTGTTCTCTCTTAGTTTGTATCTTTGATAGAAAATGATTCATGATTTTTTTATGATCTGAATTCATTTTAAGAAGTCTTTATGGCCAGATTTGGAAAAAGTGATTGAAAAAAGGTAGTAGAGACCAAACTTGTATCTTTACAATAAGGATTATATTCAACCACCATATATGCTACAAAATTCCAAAACCTTACTTACAACATGGATTGGAATGACAAAACACTTTTCAATCAATTTCAATATTAATTGAAAGACAATG